TGAAATTGCAAACACACAATTTCGAAATTTGATCAAATTCAGAATCCCGGAATAACTAAAATTTCAGAAAAACTTTAGAAAAATCAGAATGTTGGAGAATGTTGAGGATATCAAAATTCTCGTAATTTCATAATTTTTTAATTTTCCAAAAAATCTGAAATTCCTTTCAGCGTGGCGGTCTAACATACACCGACGAAGAAGTCGATTTTCAAATTCAAGAAGTCGATTCGGCTTCTCGTGTCAACGTCATCCAACCACCAGCACCTCTTCAGAATCTCTCATTTAAAACTGCTCAAGCTCTGCCACGAACGTCTTCAAAAACGACGACGTCGTCTTCTGAATCAGATGACGTGGAACCACCGATGAGAACGGCCAAGGAGGAGACAGAAAACCACCCGAAAACTGCAATTTCCGGAGAGATTCCCGAAAAAATGAATACAGCAATTTCGGAAAAATCAACGAAAACTATGCGTCTATCGGCTACTGTAACTAATACTACTGCTGGAAATTCGGCTGAAACGATTTCTTTGAAAACTGGAAGAGATTAGAATAAATGTTTTTTTTTCTCTTGAATTTGGATTTTTTGGATTTCTCAAGAAATTCGAAGTTTTGGAACTTTTGAAAATTTTCGGAATTTGGAATTTAGGATCTTTGTTTATTGTCAGATTTTTTTTGAGTAGGAATTTTCGATTTTCGGATTCTGAAACTTTGTGCTTCTGAAATTGTGAAGTTCTGAAATTCTGAAATTCAGAGATTCTGAGATTCGGAAATTCTGAAATTCTGAGATTTTGAGATTCCAAGATTTTAAGATTTTAAGATTCTGAGATTCTGAGATTCTGAGATTTTGAGATTCCAAGATTCTAAGATTTTAAGATTCTGAGATTCTGAGATTCGAAAATTCTGGGATTCTGAGACTCTGAGAATCTGAGATTCTAAGATTTTAAGATTCTGAGATTCTGAGATTCTGAGATTCCGAGATTCTGAGATTCTAAAATTTTGAGATTCTAAGATTCTAAGATTTTGAGATTCTGAGATTCTGAGATTCTGAGATTCGGAAATTCTGAAATTCTGAGATTTTGAGATTCCAAGATTCTAAGATTTTAAGATTCTGAGATTCTGAGATTCTGAGATTTTGAGATTCCAAGATTCTAAGATTTTAAGATTCTGAGATTCTGAGATTCGAAAATTCTGAGATTCTGAGACTCTGAGAATCTGAGATTCTAAGATTTTAAGATTCTGAGATTCTGAGATTCTGAGATTCCGAGATTCTGAGATTCTAAAATTTTGAGATTCTAAGATTCTAAGATTTTGAGATTCTGAGATTCTGAGAACTGAGATTCTGAGATTCTGAGATTCCGAGATTCTGAGATTCTGAGATTCTGAAATTTTGAGAATTTTTGAATTTTAGAATTTCCAGATTTCAGATTCAGGATTTAGAATTTTTGACATTCTGAAATTCTGAATTTCAGAATTTCGGAATTATTGAAAACTATAAAATCCTGAGAAATCTGGGTTTCAGACCTTAAAAACTTGAAAGCTCTGAAATTTCGAAATTTCAGAATTTCAGAATTTCCCTGAAATAGTTCCCAATTCTCTCCGATCAAAAATCACTGATTATATTTTTTTTTTCGGCGAATCTCATTGTTATTACTTCCTTATCACTTCCTTCCTTGTCTTATCAACTGCCTCTGATCTAATTTTTTCCGTATAAAAAGGATCAGAATATCTGTTGAAAAACAAATTCTTGATTCAAAATGGTTTTTCTCCTATTGCTCATCTTTATTTCTACCGTACTGTCTTCTCAAGAACTGTATGCACCACCAATTCTTGTTGGTGGATCCTATGTGCTTTCTACAAATTACGAAGGAGCCAAAAATTCTTCGACTGGAATTAAAAGATTATTGAATTCTGAAACTGAGGACACATGGCAAGTTTTTCATTTTTGTACAAAAGATGGGCAGAACAAGGACAAGTGTGGCGCATGGGTGGATAAGGTGATTTCGAAATTTTGAAAAATTGAAATTCTGAAATTCTAAGATTCTGAGATTCTGAGATTCTGAGATTCTGAGATTCTGAAATTCTGAGATTCTGAAATTCTGAAACTCAAAAAAATCTGAAATTCAGAAATGTTGAGATTCTGTAACTTCGAGACTTTGAAATTATGAAAATCTGAGATCCTGAGATTCTGAGATTTTGATATTCTGAGATTCTGAGATTCTGAGGTTCTGGGATTCTGAGATTTTGAAATCCTGGATTTCTGAAATTCTGAAATTCTGAAATTCTGAGATACTGAGATTTTGAGATTCTGAAATTCTGAGATATTGAGATTTTGAGATTCTGAGATTCTGAGATTCTGAGATTCTGAGATTCTGAGATTCTGAGATTCTGAGATTCTGAGATTCTGAGATTCTGAAATTCTGAGATTCTGAAATTCTGAGATTCTAAGACCCTGAAATTTGGAAATTCTGAGGTTCTGAGATTCTGAAACTCTTGAAATTTGAAGAATTCTGCATTTCTGAAATTGTGATATTTAGAAAATTCCGAAAAATTCCGAAAAATCTGAAAAGTGCCCAAATTTTTACAAAACTTCGAAAACTTCACTATGTATTTCAAAAATTCTGAAATTTTAAAAAAACTCGAATTTTTCAGAACGGCAAAAAAATCGCGGGAGCCAACAACAATGTGAAAGAAGTGGAGGACGTCTACTTGTAAATTTCAAAAATGCAATTGTCGGATTCTGGAAGATATTCACGTCATCCATCTGATCCAGTGAAGGAAGCTCTGGAATGGGTTGTAGTCTCTGTGCAGGAAGGACCAAAACCACCACCACATACTTATTGATTTTTTTTCCAAAATTTGTGTAAAATTTTTAATAAAATGTCATACTTTACTTTTTGAAAAAAATCTTTATTAAACTCTAACAAAAAATCCACTAATCAAACAAAATAGATCGGTTGATCTTTCTTAAACTTCCGATGATCCTGCAGCGGATCGATAACACTTGAAGGTCGTGATCCATGCGAACTGACAGATCGGATTTCCTTCTCTTTCTTCAAAATTGGCTCCAATTTGATTTCAGGCGTGCTAATTCTCTCCACCACATCCTCTTCCAACTTTCCATGAACCCAAAATGTTTCCATAACTCCTTTCCCTTTAATTATAACCTCTCCTCGAGAACTAGTCTCATATTGGTGGGGATAATGAGAGGTTAAAAGAGAATGAGCCGCTTCTGACATATGGATTTGAGATGGTTTTCCATTTGATTCCATTCTGGAGGCTGTGTTCACTGTGTCACCGAATAGACAGTAACGGGGCATCGACAAACCGACCACACCAGCTACGCAGGGTCCTGGAAAGTTATAAATTTTACAGAGTTAGGAGCCTTTGTATCTCTCTCACCACTGTTAACACCAATCCTCAATTCGACCTGCTCTCTTGGCAAGTGTGGAATTTTAAATTTCCTACAGTATTCCATAAATTGAAGGGACATGTCCACGATTTGTCTGAAAATCTCAAATTTCAGCAAATGCGCTCTAATGACAAAACAACTCACTTAATATGTGCATAACCATTTCTAGTGGGTAGTCCAGAAACACAAAGATATCCATCACCAATCGATTCGACTTTATAAACGCCGTGCTCTTCGATGATTGTATCAAAATTACTGTACAAATCATTGAGCAAATTCACCACTTGAAACGGTGAACACTTTTGAGATAGTTGTGTGAATTTGACGACATCCGAAAAGAATACGGTCACTGAATCGAATCCCTCCGGTTCCACGGTTTGACCAGCTTTTAGGCGTTCCGCTACTTGTCTGGAATATTGCAAACTCTGGGATAATTTATCAGAAAAATTGGCACGTCATCAGCTTTTTTTTGGCGCAAAAATCAGCTTTCTAGGCCTTCTAAAAGCTGAGGTACCGCTATTTGAAGTTTGGAAGAGACGCAAACGACGAGACTGCCTGCGTCTCTCATTTCTAAAACTTTGAACAACCGTATCTCAGCCCCTAGTGTAGCTAGAAACTTGGTTTTTTTTCCAATTAATACATAAAATTTAGTGTTTCAATAAATTAGTGTCAAATTGTCTGTGCCTCTCCTCCAAATGCCTCTATCTCGATTTCTAATTGCGCTAGAAACTCGGTTTTTGTGCAAACTCGTACCTTGGCAACATTCTGCTCAACAAAATATCTGCCTTCTTCTTCTCCAATGTCAATTCCTTGGTCCTCTCCTCCACCTCCACCTCCAAAGTCTGTGTGTACTCTTCCAACATATTGAACACATGATCCATCAAATTCGATTTCGATTTTGGCTTCAAACTTTTCAGTGTCCCACAAATACTTTCAGAATTCGGACGGTCCTCTGGATCTTCTGCCCAACAATCTTTGACCAAGCGAATGAGGTCTGGGTTCACATCAGGAATGTCGGTGATAAGTTCTGGGCGGATCGGAAATACACCCCCTTTTTTGACCATGTACACAATTTCTGAAAGTTTCGGAATGTGATGGAAAACATAGAGCTTCTAAAATGATGAAGATCATAAAAAAAAGAAGCTTCTAGGTCATCTAGAAGCCGAGATACGGCTCTTAGAAGCTTTGAAGAGACGCAGACAGCTAGCGTGTCTCGTTGTCTGCGTGTCTCCAAAATTTCAAAGCACTGTATCTCGGTGTCTAGCTAACCTAGAAACCTGAACTTTTCTGAACGCCTACCTTCAGAATCCTCCTTCCTGTCCAAAAAATCCCATGCCTCCTTTTTAGTCAATATCTCCGAGGCAACAATTGCAAATGAGTACACATCGGCACTCGGATCCATTTGGGATACTGTAAGTGAGCCACGTAGCACTTCTGGGGCGACCCACAAAAGTCGTTTCTTGGGTGGGATCTCATTTTCGACAAGATTTTCAATTCCGAATTCGGCGAGCTTCACTTGCCAGGAGTCATTTACAAGACAGGTGGCGGAACGGAGGTTTCCATGGAGGCGGAGGAAGGATTTGTGGAGATAGTTGAGACCCTGAAAGTTTAAAACTTTATAAAGATGAAAAAATATTTTATGAGGATTTAAACTCAGCTATCAGAGCTCAAATCGGTCAATTTCAGGCCAAGTTACAGCGATTTAACTTTTAGATCAACTTGCTAAAAACGCATTGAAAAATGTAAGGATAGAAAACACAATAAAATTTCAGACAATTCAGTAGAAAAATCAAGCGGTCCATAATTTCGACTTTTTCAGATTCAAAAAAAAATTAGAGCTTGTGATTTTGGATTCAAAAAAATTGACATGTCATCAGCTCTGTTTGGCGCAAAAATCAGCTTTCTAGACCGCCTGGGAGTCGAGATATAGCCAATTGAAGTTGTGAAGAGACGCAGGCAGTTAGGGTGTCTCCTTGTCTGCGTCTCTAGTCTCTAAAGCTTCAAAACACTATCTCGGCCGTTGATTTGATGCAAAAATCAACCTTCTAGCTCTTCTAGAACCCAAGATAGGACCACTTGAAGTTTCCGAGGTTAGAGACGCAGTGTGTCTCGTCGTCTGCGTCTCTAGCCTCCTAAACTTTGAATCGCTGTATCTCCGCTCATAGAAAAGCTAGAAAGTTGGTTTTTCTTGTAAATCACCCAATTTAGAACAAGTTTTCTGGTCATATATGTAGTTTTCATTTGAAAAAAAACTTTGAAAAAAAATCCCAAATCTTGAAAAGTTGCATGGATTCAAAGTTTTTTGACAACTGTGAAATAGAAAGTGTGTATTCTATTTCTGTCAAAAAATCATCTTTCCAGGATGTCTGCGAGCCGAAATACATCGTTTTGAAGTTTAGGAAAGTCGCAGACAGTTAGAGTGCTCTCGTTGTCTGCGTCTCTCACTACCAGATGTTGAAATTCCAGTATCTCAGCTCCTAGAAGGCCTAGAAACCCCATTCTTTCACCAAACCCACCTCCGCAACATCCTTGATAATGCAAAACATGAAAAAGTAATCCATCGAGAAGTTTCCACGAGACAGAATGTCTTGAAGGGATCCTCTGGAACATAGTTTAGTGACCGAGATGAATTGAGATCCGTCAATCGATAATCCGATAAATTTGTTGAGATTCTCATGTTCCAACTTTCTCAATTTCACAAATTTCTCCATATCCGATTTTGTTAAATTCATATATTGATACTTCATCGTTAACACCATATCCTTCTCGTAGATCATAATTGTGTAATTCTCACAAAAATCACTAACTGCCGTAGTTTTGGATTCCCCAGTCTGGGCGGATTGTAGGGACCGTTTGCTGGTGTGATGTGCGTTTTTGCGATTTTCCGGTTCCATTAAACTCAAAAACGGGATTTGCCATTCCGAATTGATTCTTAATTGCTCAGCCCGTCGACTGGACATGATAAAACAGCAGCCGATGATTAGGGTAATTAGCATTAGGATAATTACGACAAGTGCCACAATTATCAAAAGTTGGTATTGTTGGAAAAACGAAACTGGGCAGGATTTTCCAAGAAATCCACAGATTGGAATATCCAAAGGCCTGTGGTTACTGTAGAAGTGCCATACGGTGGGACCCTCGTCTTTGTAGAACAAGGAGACGTTCTGGAAAAGGATTCTAACTTTTTTTTTGTTTGAAAATTTTGATCCCAATTACCATTTTCTCATTGAGAAATGTAAAATTGATATAAGCCACTTGATCATAATGTTCATTCAATCCGTATAATTGAAAAATTGACATTCTTGTTAGATTTGTTGATATTTTAACTTCTCCTGTCATTCCTGTAAATTAGAAAAGAATATAAATAAAAGAATCACATCTCTAGCTCTTCTAGAAGCCGAGATACAGTAATTTGAAGTTCAACGGGTGGAGACGCAGACGACAAGACACTCAAACTGTCTGCGTCTCTTCAAAACTTCAATTGGCTTTATCTCGGCTGCTAGACGTGCTAGAACCTTGGTTTGTGGACGAAAAAAAAATCTGAAAAGATGACAAATTAGAAAAAAGAGAATCAGAAAAAAAATCTAAATAATTTAATTCTGTGAAAGAATTAGAGTTTTTATGATATTTCCTGAAAATTAAATTTAGCATAATACAGAAGTCATTGTCTTTAGAATGGAGGAAAAATCGAGTCTCTAGGACGCCTGAAAGCCGAGATACGGCCATTCAAGGTTTAGAAGAAACGCAGGCAGTTAGAGTATCTTGTTGTCTGCGTCTCTATTCTCCAAAAGTTCAAAGCGTTATATCTCGGCTCCTAAAAGAGCTAGAAGCTTGTTTTAACTTGCCAATGAGAGATAATGATGTGCTAATTCATAGTCATTTTTTTTGAATTCTATTGTTATTGTAGTTTAAAAAAAATTTTCAGCATAATTTTTAAAAACTTTAAATATTTTTGGTTTTACAGATTTCTCACATTTTCCGCTTCATTTTGGTGTAACAATCAAGTCTCTAGGACGCCTGGAACCCGATATTCAGCCACTCAAAGTTTGGGAGGCGAGAGACGCAGACAACGAGACAATCTAATTGTCTGCGTCTCTTCAAAACTTCAAACGCGCATATCTCGGCTCCTAGAAGAGCTAGAAGCTTGTTTCTTTTTGCATTCTTATTATTTTCCTTACCTTGAAACGAAGTTATAAACTGGGGGACTATCACATCAACATTAGAGTAGACTTCAGGATCCGTGGAATTCGTATGCGTCAGTGCAACGCCATATAAATAGACGACGTCGAACAGATGACGTGCGTAAGCTCCCATGACCTGAAAAATTTTATTTTTGTTTTTTCAACCAAAACCTCTTTGGATTACTGTATTATTTGCACTCATACAAGCCATTGTTGAGCAATTCATGGGCGCTTCTCTGACAGCTCTTATTATATTATTTTGCATATAATGCAAATATGCTTTATCGGTGACTTCAGAATTCACATCGAGCTGAAAATTGGAATTTTGGAATTTCAGAAAAAAAATCTGGTATCTTACCACCAACATCCGCTGAGCCGCCTGCTTGGCAATTGACTCGAAACCATCGGTTCCCTCAGAGAATGATTCCCAGATTGGGGTGAGGCCAGATTGGGAAACTGAAAATCAAAAATTTATCTTTCATTTACAAGTTGAACCAGGTTTCTAGGCCATCTAGAAGATGAGATACAGCCTTTTGAAGTTTGGCAGGCTAGAGACGCCAGACGACGAGTCACTCTGACTGTCTGCGTCTCTTCAAAACTTAACTAGGGTTATCTCGGGTTCCGGAAGACTCAGAATATTGATTTAACTTGCAAATGAAAGCTGGAGAACCGTGTTTCAGATTTTAGAAGATTTTTATTCTGAATTTTTTTTTTGAAGTTTATATTTTATGGATTCAATTTTCTGAAAACATAAAAACACGGCTTCCTAGCTCTCATTTGCAAGTTAAACAAACTTTCTAGCTCTTCTAGGAGCCGAGGAACATCACTTTGAAGTTTTGGAGGGTGAGAGACGCAGACGACGAGACACTCTAACTGTCTGCGTCTCTTCAAAACTCTGAATGACAATATCTTGGGTCCTGGAAGAGCTAGAAAAGTGATTCTTGAACTACGATCAAGCGGAAATTGAGTAAAATCTGTGAAATTAGAAAATCTTTGAAATTTTACGAAAAATTAAAAAAAAATTCAAGAATGTGTTCGAAAACTTGTAATTCCAAAAATACTAGATTTCACAATATATTTGCAAGTTGAATCAAGTTTCTATGTCGTCTAGGGGCCGAGATACATCCCTTCGAAGTTTGGAATGCTAGAGACGCAGACGACTAGACACTCTAACTGTCTGCGTCTCTATAAACTCCAAACGACTGTATCTCAGCTCTCTAACTCATCTAGGAGCTGAGATATAACCTTTTAAAGTTTGGAGAGACACAGACAACGAGACACACTGCGTCTCTGACTCTAGCTGTCTGCGTCTCTTTGAAACTTCAAACGACTGTATCTCAGCTCCTAGAAGAGCTAGAAACCTGGTTTTTTTCAGTATTTTAACTTAAATTTTCACAAAAAACTTACACACACTTTTGCCTAACGAAGATTGAACACCAAACGCTATATTCCTCATTGAAAGCATTATATGCACATACTCATCACTTATCATATCATGACCAGACATTTTCAAAAGATAGTCCCTTTTCTCAAAAGCAGTTTGAGAGCACCAGAGGATTACTGTAATTATGGGAATTTTGAAATTTTGAAAATTCAATTTTTAAACAAAAAAACCTACTTCTCGCGCGGCTCTTCACCGATTGTAGCACAATATCTGTCGTCTGGTTATCATTCAAATAAATTTCCGCTTTTATCACAATATTCACATCGAAATCTGCTTCCGGATCACTTAGGGTCGATTCCACATCTGTCATAACACTTGAACAGTACTGTATGTCACTTTGATAGTATAACATGGCAACTCTGGACCAATGATATTGTTGGAGGACTTTTGCAACTGCAAAACCGAGCCTGTAATAATGAAATTAGAGCAAATTTCAATTTGAATAGCGAAAAAATCAGTTTTCTAGCTCATCTGGGAGCCGAGATAAGATTATTTGAAGTTTGCGCACGCAGACAACTAGACACTCTAGCTGTCTGCGTCTCTCCAAAACTTCAAAGGACTATATCTCGGCTCCTAGATGAGCTAGAAAACTGATTTTTCTTGGAAAATGTTGGGTTCAAGATGGTCATAACATTCCTGATAGAAAAATCCATTTGTGTAGTTTTGAAATTTTTTGAAAAAGTCGAAGATTTTTGCAAACTGTATCATGAAATGAAAATAGACAAAATTTCCTCCAAATCAAAGCAATAACTAATTTCCTAGCACTTCTAGGAGTCGAGATATAGTCAATTGAAGTTTTAGAGAGACGCAGGCAGTGAGAGTCAGAGACGCAGCGTGTCTCGTTGTCTGCGTCTCTAGCTTTCTAAATTTCGAATCGCTGTATCTTTGCTCTTGGAACAGCAGAAGAGGTTGTTTTTAGACAGAAAAAAAACTTGAAATGGGGATTTTATTAGAAAATTCATTAAAATTTGGTTTTTTGAAAGATCAATTTTTAAACATTTGAAAATGTGTGTTTTGAGCTTTATTTCTGTCCAAAAACCAGACGCAGACGACGAGACACACTGCGTCTCTGACTCTAGCTGTCTGCGTCTCTTCAAACGGCTATATCTCGGCTCCCAGACGTCCTAGGAACCTGGTTTTTTCTTAATACTCACATTTGCGAATTCGGCAATACCGTAGTCAAATATGGAAACCGTATGACATCTGAGAGATCCGAGTCACTAACAAATCCGTATCCAAGAACGGGTTTTCGGGAATTCGACGCTAAAATCGACATTGTTCGAAGAGCTTGAGCGCACGGTGGACCAATTATCACATCCACTTTGTCCTCTTTGATGAATTTCATTCCCGCTCGAACCACACTTCCCAAATCGCATTCGGTGTACTCGACAATGTATCTGGAATTATTTATTTCTAGCTGGAATTTTGAAAATCTTAAAATACAGATTTTCAGCTAACGATTGGAAAAGAAATGAGGCTTCTAGGTCGTCTGGGAGCCGAGTTATAGCAGTTTGAAGTTTGAAGAGACGCAGATAACGAGACACGCTGCGTCTCTCGCGCCTGACAAGAGAGACGCAGACAGCTAGATCGCCAAAACTTCAAATGACCATATCTCAGCTCCTAGAAGACCTTGAAACTTGATGTTTTCACCAATTAATGTGAAATATTTTCCATTTTCCGGTAGACATACTCAAAATCAAAGTTTTCCACAAATCCGAATTGGCGGAGACGTTCAATTGCTAACGGGACGGCACCACCACACACCGACCAACCAACAGAGCCGGTTTGATTGGTCTCGGCGGCAGCGATTCCGATTTTTATCTGAAAAAGTATTGGATTTTCAGAGTTTCCTGTGACTCTAAAAATTCTGAAATTCCGAAAAATTCAGGAATCACAGAAAAATCGTAAATCGAAAATCCTAAAACTTCCGAAAAATTAATGAATTATTTTTTTTTAAAGTTTTCTTGAAATTTCGGCTCCGCGTCGTGTCGAAACCGCGACACTTCGTAACCGGTCATTTCGAAACGAGTCGTTTTTCGTTTTCGAAGTGACCGGTTTCGAAGTGTCACGCAGTTTCGAAATTACCAGTTTCGAAACGTCGCGGTTTCGAAGTGATTGGTTTCAAAATTTCTGGTTTCGAAGTGTCACATAGTTTCGAAGTGTCGCGGTTTCGAAGTGTCTAGGTTTCGAAATTGCTGGTTTCGAAATTACTGGTTTTAAACTGACTGGTTTCAAAATAAACGGTTTCGAAGTGTCGCGGTTTCGAAATGACCGGTTTCGAAATGTCTGGTTTCGAAGTGTCACATAGTTTCGAACTGACTAGTTTCGAAATTACCGGTTTCGAAATGACCGGTTTCGAAATGTCTGGTTTCGAAGTGTCACATAGTTTCGAACTGACTAGTTTCGAAATGACCGGTTTCGAAATGACCGGTTTCGAAATGTCTGGTTTCGAAGTGTCACATAGTTTCGAAGTGTCGCGGTTTCGAAGTGTCTCGGTTTCGAAGTGTCACATTGTTTCGAAGTGTCACGGTTTCGAACTGACTGGTTTCGAAATGACCGGTTTCAAAGTGTCGCGGTGCCGAAATTTTGAGTATTTGGATTTTTTTTTGAATTTTTTTGGAATTTTGAACGTTTTTTTTTCTAATTCAGAAAGATCTGAAAATTCCAAAAAATTCGAAAAACTTACAATTTTTCGATTCGTTGAATTATTCCCAGAATTCGTCGAATTCGACGAATACACAGAATACTCAAAATTCGTGGTCGAATTTTGAGTATTCGCAGAAGAAAATAATAGTAGTATGAAAAATTCCAGAACTTTCATTTTTCTGGAATTCCAGACAAAAATGACGACTGGAAATGAAAATTTGTGTGTTCTGTGTTTTGGGAATCTCCGAAATTTCCCAAATTTTCAGCTTCTTCCTGGTTCTTCCCAGAAATCCTTGAAAAAGAAAGGAATCCTCCTTTTTACGTATTCTTTTTTTTTGTATACGTAATTTCTCCAAAAAAAGAAGAAAAAAACGGAAAGAAATTTATTGAGATCTTTAGATTTTCAGATTTTCAGATTTTCAGATAAATTTCAGTTCTCCAAATTTCCAGACTTCTTCTCATAATCCCTTGTTGTAGAAAACCACTTCTGGAGCATCGGCACGAGAGAAAATCTCATTCTGAGAAGCGGGTTCCAGTTTCGTGACCTGAAAAAAAAGTATTCTGAATTTTGTAATTTTTTTAAAAATTCAAAAAAAATTTTTTTTTTTTTGAAATTAAAAAATTTTACCTCTACAGCAGTTTTTTGTGGAAAAAGTGCACAACACATCGGGGTCGTGAAAAACAGAGCCATTCCGGCCAACATCGTCTGAATCGGGTATTCTGAATATTTTTTCATCCATGGACGGGTACGGTAGTAGGCAGTTCGCGTGATGCGATTCATGATGATTGGTGTCATTACTGAAAATAAAACTCGATGTTTAGAATGGGGGCCTAGGATCCGACACCTGGCCTAGGGATCCAAATTTGGTTTCCTAGGCCATGTGTTGGAATCCTAGTTATTTGGATCCGACACATAAACTAGAAACCGAGCTATGACCTAGCAGGAAAGCTGGCCTAGGATCCGACAAGTGGCCTAGGAATCCAAAATCTAGGCCATTTTGTTTTCTAGATCGTCTGTCGGGCTTCAGGTCATCCAAGATCTTTTAATAATCAAAAACAAAAATGATAGCATAGGATCCGACTAGTAACCTAAAACACAACAATTGACCTAAAACGAAGGCCGGCCTAGAATCCGACACATGGCCTAGAATTCCAAATTCTGTTTTTCTAGGCCATGTTTTGGGATTTTTGAAAATTTTTAATTTTTCGAAATTTTCGGAAATTTTCAATTTTTTAATTTCCGAATTTCAGAATTTCCAAATTTCAGAATTTCAGAATCGCAGAATCTCAAAATCTCAAAACTTCAAGAATCTCAGAATCTCAGAATTTCAGAATTTTAGAATTTCCAAAATCTCAGAATCTCAGAATCTCAAAATCTCAGGATCTCAAAACTTCTGAATTTCTGAATTTCAGATTTTCAGAATTTTGGAATTTCCAGAATCTCAGAATTTCAGAATTTCAGAATTCAAGAATTTCAGAATTTCAGAATTCAAGAATTTCAGAGTTTTATTTTCTTGGTCTGGCCTAAAAACCCAAATTTGGTTTTCTAGGCCACCTCGGTTTGTACTAGAATAATGAAGCCTGACATTTCCGAGATCAAACATTTAGGATTTTTACACTTTTTGTTTTTTTTTTTTTGAAAAATATGGAAACCCTAAAATTTAGGACACAATCAAAAACACGAAAAGTCTCAAAATCAAACGTTCAAGGGATCCTTATGACATAGAAAACTCAAATTTGGTTTTCTAGGCCATGGCCTAGAAATTCAGGATTCTAGGCCACAGTGACTCACCCATATCCGGCATAGCCATGAAAATCCGGCTCATCGTAACCTGAGCAATCGAGAGAACAGCCATTTTCCGAGACCTTCCAACGAGTTCTCCTCTTTCATCACGCAACTCGAGGCCTTCAGTGACTTCGCTGCAAAATGCGCTCTATTGAGAATTTGGTGAGGGCTGTCGCAATTTTGAAAAATATTAAAATGTTTAAAGTTTTATATCCTACTTTTTTGTAGTTTTCAACTTTTTGATAGCTTTCCAAGTTTTCGAGATATGCGCCTTTAAACCCGAGAGGGATACGCAGTGAAGCGAGAGCGCGTTGTTGCTTCAAAGTATATCTCGCTCAGCTTCAAAGATAACAAAAAAATGCCAACTGACAAAATATTCAAAATTTTATATTCAAAATTTTTGTAGTTTTCAACTTTTTGATAGCTTTCCAAGTTTTTGAGATATGCGCCTTTCAATTTAGAGGACCCAATTTTGAAGGCGAAAAAACTTTGACCTTCCACATCTCCGCTATTTTTTGAGCTATCAAAATTTGGTAAATTAGTAAAATATTTTAAATTTTGTGAAGTTTGCAAATTTTAAACTCACTTGCTCCGAATCATTGGAATATTGATACAATTGGCCATTGCCACTGCGGCAAATGGGACGAGACGAGCGGCTACACTGTTCTTGTTCTGGAAAAACCAATATAACTCGAGAAGTAGAAATTCTAGGAAATTGTATTAACTATCAAAATGCAGATATCAAAATTTTACACAATTTTTGTTTTTCAAAATATTTGATATCTGCAACACTAAGCGAAATATGAACATTTAAAGTTGAAGGCGTCCTCGTTACCTTCTTCTTCACTTTAAAGGCGCATATCTCAAAAACTGAGAGAGCTATCAAAAAACTGTCAACTATAAAAAGATAGCTCTTAAATTTCCTACAAGATGACATTAAACGTTTTTGTATCATCTTCCAAATTTCTTACCTTAACCATCGCATTAAGTGCCAACGCGGCGGACATGGCTCCTCCCGTTGCACAAAGATATGAAAGAAGGAGTCGTTCATTGGAAGTTTTTACATTTCCACTACGATTTGTATAATTGACGACAGCGTTAAATGATTGATTGATCCAGTGAGAGAATACCACGCCAGGAAAGGTACGGTAGAGACTGAGGAGCATTCCGTTGATCAACATGTTGCCGGGCATCTGGAATTTTTTTTAAATTTTATTATGTCTCTTTTTAATGTCAGTCATAAAATATAGAAAATTTCCTTTGATTCAGTTCAAAAACCAGCTTTCTAGGGCGTCTAGAAGCCGAGTTACAGCAATTTGAAGTTTTGAAGAGACGCAGACAGTTAGAGTGTCTAGAGACACAGTGTGTCTCGTCGTCTGCGTCTCTCCGAACTTCAAAAACCTATATCTCGAGTTCTAGATAAGCTAGAAAAGTGATTCTTTCATAGAATCAAAGGAAGTTTCATATATTTTAATAATAAGTGCCTACCTGAGCACTCATCCGTCCCAAAAAGAACATTTTCTCTCCAGAATCCGGATGATACGTGGCATCGTACAAGGCTTTAGCTCTCCATAACTCGTTGACTGTTAATTGATCACTAATTATCCCTTTCCGATAATTAGTCACAATTTCTCGACATTTTTCCTGACGAGTTTCGGATGAGAAGAGGGTCAGAGGGTTGGTTAGTGTGAAGAAGTGGCGGACGCGGCCTGGAAAATTTTAGAAGGCCTAGATTTTCGTAAATCTCAGAATCTCAGCATTTCAGAATTTCAGAATTTCAGAATTTCAGAATCTCAGAATCTCAAAATATCAGGATCTCAAAACTTCTGAATTTCTGAATTTCTGAAATTTCGGAATTTCAGATTTTCAGAATTTTGGGATTCCCAGAATCTCAGAATCGCAAAACTTCAGAATCTCCGAATTTCAGAATCTCAGAATTTCAGAATTTTGGGATTTCCAGAATCTCAGAGTTTCAGATTTTCAGAATTTTAGAATTCCCAGAATCTCAGAATCTCAAAACTTCAGAATCTCAGAATCTCAGAATCTCAAAATCTCAGGATCTCAAAACTTCTGAATTTCTGAATTTCTGAAATTTCTGAAATTTCGGAATTTCGGAATTTCAGAATTTCAGCATTTCAGAACTTCAGAATTTCAGTATTTCAGAATTTCAGATTCTCAGAATTTCATGATCTCAAAATATCAGAATCTCAGAATTTCAGAATTTAAAAACATCAGAATTCCAGAATTTTCGGGAATTTTCGAATTCACCATAATACGTCCGTTGGTCCCATTGTGGTTTCGAAATGTCCGGTTTCGTTTTGAGATTGATGACAAGATCATTCATTTGTGTTTCTCTTCGGTTTTTTGGTGCTATTTTATAATTTTCCCCAGAAGAAAATGAGGAAATTTCAAAGTTTTCGAATAAAAAATGAACTTTATTTAAATTTTCTACCGAAAAAAAAGTTTTCTGCTTTTTCATGATTCCACGTAGATTTTTCTAAAGTCCTTTGTTATAGAAAACGATTTTCGGAGGATTTGGAAGCTTTGAAATATCCAATTGGAGGTTTTTCTCAAGTTTTGAGACCTGAAATTTAAAATTTTTTTGAAAATTGATATTTTTTCGAAAAGTCTGAGATTCCGAATATCAGAATCTCAAAATCTCAGAATTTCAGAATTTCAGAATCCCAGAATTTCATAATCTCCGAATCTCAGAATCTCCGAATCTCAGAATCTAAGAATCTCAGAATCTCAAAATCTCAGAATTTCAGAATCTCAGAATTTCAGAACCTCAAAATCTCAGAATTTCAGAATCTCAGAATTTCAGAATCTCAAAATCTCAGAATTTCAGAATCTCAGAATTTCAGAATCTCAAAATCTCAGAATTTCAGAACCTCAGTCTCAGAATCTCCGAATCTCAGAATCTCAGAATCTCAGAATCTTAGAATTTCAGAATCTCTGAATCTCAAAACCTCAGTCTCAGAATCTTTGAATTTCAGAATCTCAGAATTTCAGAATCTCAGAATCTCAGAATTTCAGAATTTCAGAATCTCAGAATCTCAGAATTTCAGAATCTCAGAATCTCAGAACCTCAGAATCTCAGAATCTCAGGATCTCAGAATCTCAGAATCTCAGAATCTCAGAATCTAAGAATCTTAGAATTTCAGAATCTCAGAATTTCAGAATCTCAGAATCTCAGAATTTCAGAATTTCAGAATCTCCGAATCTCAGAATTTCAGAATCTCAGAATCTCAGAATTTCAGAATTTCAGAATCTCTATTATTTATTCCGGGATTCTGAATTTGATCAAATTTCGAAATTGTGTGTTTGCAATTTCAGAATTTTAGATTTCAGATATATTTTGATTTTTAATTCTTGAATTCTTGAATTTTTGGAATTTTCAATTTTTTGGATTTTTTGAAAAATTGATATCCCGACATATCAGAATAACCAAAATTTTCGAAAAAGATATTTCGAAAAAAAAATTCTATATTCAAAATTTTTGAAGAATGTGAAAGTCTCGAGAAAAAATCAGAAAATTCTAAAATTCCAGAGCTTTAAAATTACGAAAGTTTCAGAGATTCCGAGGAATCTGAAAAATTCCAAAAGTTCCAGAAATTTTAGAAAAATACAGAAATCCCGAACATTCCGAAAATTCTATAATTTTCAAATTATCGAAAAATTCCGATAACTTCGAAATGTCAGAATCTCAGAATGTCAGGATTTCAGAATTTCAGTATTTCATAATCTCAAAATCTCAGAATCTCAGAATCTCAGAATCTCAGAACCTCAGAATCTCAGAATCTCAGGATCTCAGAATCTCAGAATCTCAGAATCTCAGAATTTAAGAATCTTAGAATTTCAGAATCTCAGAATTTCAGAATCTCAGAATCTCAGAATTTCAGAATTTCAGAATCTCCGAATCTCAGAATCTCAGAATCTCAGAATCTCAGAATCTTAGAATTTCAGAATCTCAGAATTTCAGAATCTCAGAATCTCAGAATCTCAGAATCTCAGAATCTCAGAATCTCAGAATTTCAGAATCTCAGAATCTCAGAATCTCAGGATCTCAGAATCTCAGAATCTCAGAATCTCAGAATTTAAGAATCTTAGAATTTCAGAATCTCAGAATTTCAGAATCTCAGAATCTCAGAATTTCAGAATTTCAGAATCTCCGAATCTCAGAATCTCAGAATCTCAGAATCTCAGAATCTTAGAATTTCAGAATCTCAGAATTTCAGAATCTCAGAATCTCAGAATCTCAGAATCTCAGAATCTCAGAATCTCAGAATTTCAGAATCTCAGAATTTCAGAATCTCAGAATCTCAGAATCTCAGAATCTCAGAATCTCAGAATCTCAGAATTTCAGAATCTCAGAATTTCAGAATCTCAGAATCTCAGAATCTCAGAATCTCAGAACCTCAGAATCTCAGAATCTCAAAACCTTAGAATCTCAGAATCTCAGAACCTCAGAATCTCAGAATCTCAAAACCTTAGAATCTCAGAACCTCAGAATTCCA